AACACACCGCAACCACGTTTGCTGACCCGCGAAGTGTTGCTGGCTATGGCAACTCATTTTTGTCATGTAGCGTCATCCTGCCAATAGATATGGTGGTGGTCAGCGGACCGATGAGCGTGTGGTCTTGTTACTTTATCTGAGCTATTGCATTTCACTAGGTCCTGACTTAGCAGCGGTTTAGGGTTAGGGTTTGCACACCTGGATTCCTGGGTTGATTAACGACGCAAACTACAGGTGGCCGTGGCCTCGCTGAAGTTAGGGCAATTGAGAAAATTTTGAGGCTGGTCGGGCACTTTGGCACAGCACAGCGCAATTTCGGTAAACACAAATTTCTCTTCTTTTTTTTTTTTTATCCACATTCGCTACGCTGATCGATATGTTGACATGCACACCAGCGAGCATCGGAATTCATTTAATGGAGTCATTTTATCTCGCGCCGCTGTGCCAGTCATAAAAATGTGATTCAGTACTCGAAACCACAGCAGTTTTGTACCATCGACCTAATCAGACAAATTGAGAAATTGCATAAGCATATAATGTCACAAATAACGTTGACCTTGGCGGTTGTTACAAGATAAGTAATTCGACTGTATTAATCGACTGTAAACAGGCCATAGTTTGACTTTTTATGCCTCTTTATAACACGCACGCTGCACCCCTATTTATGTAATTTTTTTTTCACACATGTAACTTTCAGTAGTAAGGGAGCACTAGATGGTGCGTGTATTCGCGGGCTTTCGTGTCCTGCTTTTCGTTTTTTTTTTTCGACCTAAGTGCTATTCTAACTAGTGTCAATGCAGGCTAGTAGACACTTATCGTCATTACATATATGGTGTGAGCAACGCGCACACTGTTGTTTGAATGGGTCTTATTTTATTAAGTGCCGACTATACCTTCTACAGTATTCTTCAAAAATTGAAACCTTAAATTCTACTCGTCGACAGTTTCAATGGACATTGGTTATGAATGCATCCACAAATCTAAAACCGCCGGTGTGCTTCATTGGCAAACCACTTGTCTCTTCTTTTTGTTTAATTTTTGCCGTAGAGCACTGGTGTCGAGGAAAACAAAAGGATGACGTTTCTTAGCTGCTTAACGGATCCTACAGTGAAACAACCAATGGAACTAGTCTAGAGGCCCTCACAGCTAAACACTGAAGTTTGTGATTGAATTACGGAGCAATATGTTGCACCTTGCCAAATTCACGGTGTCTAAGAAGTCTTGGAACAGCCCAAGCGCAAAGGTAAAGCGTGAGGCCCGCGCACTCGTCGCGATGGCAGCTCCGGCGTACCAACTCAGGGTTCCTACAGGTTTCCAAAGCGAAAATTCAAGGATATTTAAGGACTTTCCAGGACCTGTTGCAAGTTTTTTAAGGACTCAAAGCGGCATGCTAAGTTAGAATTTTTCACTCTAAAATTTTCAAGAATGCCCAATTTTATTACACTTACAATAAATATATAGATATCGAAATTATAAAAAAAAGAGCGTGGTCTTAATAACTTCTCGCACCCTCTCACACACTCTCCGTAGGGAGAGGGCACGATGCCATTTCGAGAAGTCACGCACTGATGGGCTTCAATGCGCATGTGTAGTCAGGCCTTAAAGGGGTCGTTCCACATTATTTGTGGCTTGTACGCTCTTTGTTCCAAGCTTTAGTTATAGCTCCAATAAGCATGATACATGCACCAAGATTAGTTTATTTTCGCTATATAATTTGTCACCTTTTTGATATGAACAATTTTCAGTTCCTGTTTGTGGGGACGGAGTTGGGTAGGTACGTAGCAGGGTAGCTGACTTAGTCATGTGATCGCAAAGCTTTGCACGCATCATGCTGAGTATTGTTAGCTCTCGCACACATGTGCCACACAAGCACCTGCAAAACAAACTCACCGCTACCTGCAACAACCGCGATGCTTTGCCGGTAGGTATGGGATGGAAGTCCGGAGGTCACTCATTTGACTACAGGTCTGGTGTGACGTCACTAGAACCTTTGTTGCCCTTCCTATAGAGCTATGTCAGTGCTAGATGTGCTTGAGATGGGCTTCAATTAGGAGAATGAGCATTTAGGTATACTTGGGAAGTGACTTAAAATGTATTCAACCCACACGATGCTTGCTACAGCCTTGAAATTTGATGGCACCACCTCATCAAGAGTGTTGGCTTGTGCACAGTTGACACTCGCAGCACGTTGCTCAACAGCCAAGAAGTAACAACAATGACAGTGGTTAATTTACACTCATCTTGTGAATACACGTGTTCTTTTCTAGCACCATTCCTGGTTTGTTTAAGCAGCACGCGCCCAGTGTCGAGCTGTGACAGTTGTTCATCAGCACTCATCCTGTGCACTTTCTTTTTGTGCGTCCTCCATGCTTGAGCTTCACGTTGCATGTATGAAGTTGCTTGCCCTTCTCCTTGTCACATTCTAATTTTTTGCTATGACATTGACTGCTTCACCTTCGTCACAAACTAACCTTTTTTTTTCGCATGAACTTTTGCAAAATGGGATCATGTGCACCCACGTCGCATTACTGCTTCAGAAATGGAGAGTTCGACAGGTTGACACACTGGTGTATCATATTTAGGAGGTCGCGATATCGATATGACACCCCACCAGTAATGATAGAAGAAGTCAGAAAAGCTTTGGAGAGCATGCAAAGAGGCAACGCTGCTGGTGAGGATCAGGTAACATCAGATATGCTGAAAGATGGAGGACAGATTGTGTTAGAAAAACTAGCCACCCTGTTTACGAGATGTCTCCTGACGGGAAGAGTAACAGAGTCTTGGAAGAACGCTAACATCATCTTAATACATAAGAAAGGAGATGACAAGGACTTGAAGAACTACAGGCCGATCAGCTTGCCTTCTGTAGTATACAAGCTATTTACAAAGGTAACTGCTAAAAGAGTAAAGGAAACATTAGAATTCAATCAACCAAAGGAACAAGCAGGATTTCGAACAGGCTACTCAACAATCGACCCCATTCATACTATCAATCAGGTAATAGAGAAATGCTCAGAATGTAACCAACCTCTATATATAGCCTTCATAGATTACGAGAAGGCGTTTGATTCAGTAGAAATATCAGCCGTCATGCAGACACTGTGGAATCAGGGCGTCGATGAAGTATATATAAACATCCTTGAAGAAATCTACAGGGGATCAACTGCTACCATAGTGCTTCATAAAGAAAGCAACAGAATACCAATCAAGAAGGGTGTAAGGCAGGGGGACACAATCTCCCCAATGCTAGTTACAGCATGCTTACAGGAGGTTTTCAGAAGCCTAGAATGGGAACAGTTAGGGATAAGAGTTAATGGAGAGTACCTTAGTAACCTGCGCTTCGCCGATGACATTGCATTGCTGAGTAACTCAGGGGACGAATTGCAACTCACGATTACGGAGTTAGACAAAGAGAGCAGAAAGGTGGGTCTTAAAATTAATCTGCAGAAAACGAAAGTAGTGCACAACAACCTCGGAAAAGAGCAGCGCTTCGAGATAGGTAATAGTGCACTTCAAGTTGTGAGAGACAATGTCTACTTAGGGCACGTAATAACCGCGGAGCCGAATTACGAGATCGAAGTGACTAGAAGAATAAGAATGGGGTGGAGCACATTTGGCAAGCACTCTCAAGTTATGGAAGGCAGATTGCCACTAGCCCTCAAGAGGAAGGTATATAACAGCTGCATCTTGCCGGTACTTAGCTACGGAGCAGAAACCTGGAGACTTACAAAGAGGGTTCAGCTTAAATTAAGGACGACGCAGCGAGCAATGGAAAGAAAAATGGTAGGTGTAACCTTAAGAAACAAGAAGAGAGCAGGGTAGATTAAGGAACAAACGGGGGTTAAGGATATCATAGTTGAAATCAAGAAGAGGAAATGGACATGGGCTGGGCATGTAGCACGTAGACAGGATAACCGCTGGTCCTTAAGGGTAACTAACTCGATTCCCAGAGAAGGCAAGCGGGTTAGGGGGAGACAGAAGATTAGGTGGGCAGATGAGATTAAAAAATTTACGGGTATAATTTGGCAACAGCAAGCACAGGACCGGGTTAACTGGCGGAACATGGGAGAAGTCTTTGTCCTGCAGTGGATGTAGTCAGGCTGATGATGATGCTGCTGCTGATGATGATGATGTCGATGTCACCCGCAGCAGCAGTCTGTGATACGCGACACCCAGGCAGTGTCATTGAAGGAGGCCCAGCAGGTGATACAGTCCCTTTGGGACCTTGTTTTCACAAACGACCTCCTAGTCACCTTCGTGGAGTACCTAGATACTCTTGACAGAGATATGCACCAGCTTCACATGAAGCAAGTGGAGAGAGAAGGGTAGATACCTATAGGAGAGAGGGGGGAGCAAGTGTAGGCTAGCAGAGGCCTGACAGCGAGCGTAAGAGAGGGGAGGAAGGGCCCTCTCCCCCTCACACCGTGACCACCCTTACAGCGCATGCACTTTCAGGGCGGTCACTCCACACACCGGATTGAGCTTGACCATAAGATGCCTCGCATCTAAAAAAAGGTCCATTAACGGTTTGCCTAGTCCACTTGGTCTACAAAATTCAGTAGAGCTCAATGGGTCTGGTCACATCGAGAAACCAAACCTCCCAAAAAGAGGTAATTATCCATGTTAGTGCACTTACATTCCAGTAATTTAGATTCCTTAATCAGCAAAACCCACGGGGTAACAAATGTGGGACAGCGAAATATAGGATCATTTAGAATTGAAATGAACAGTGCGAACACCATCGAGCGCCGGCTACTAACTGTGTTGATAGTGTTTATAGTCAGCGCTCGCGTGTGCCGTGTCTTTTCTATGTGGAGCACTGTCTTGGGTGTCTGCGCTGTTAATTTCTATTCTGGAATATATACCAACTATGTTCAAAGTGAGTTTTATTGTACTGCAAGATGCTCAAGTGTTTCACAGGAGCCCCAAGCTGAGCACAACAGACTCAACACACTCTGAAGGCATACAAGACACATGGACAACTACTATTTAGAGCTCACCTCTACTCTCAGAGCCCAAAACGCTGGCACAGGCCTGGAATCGTAGCAGCAGCCTGCTGGGCTCGGTGCATGACTCCAGGTATGAGGGAGGGTTGGCACAGTCCCCGCCGCCCTGGTTGTAACTGAAGAGCAGGGGACCCTGAATGGGGCACTCCTGCTCGCTGCCGTTGAGCCGAAACAGCGAGTACAGGCTGGCGTCACCCGCAAACTCGGCACACACAGCCGCATGCGACGTCTGGTGCGAGCAAGCCGTCTCTTTGTACTGAAGCACGTTTGTATGCTTCGCGCTGATTCCCAGGCAGCGCACACAGCCAGTCTCAGACAGCAGGAACTTGCTCTCGCGGCCCTCAAGGCAGCGACCTCTTGTGGATATGTGGGTGCGGTTGATGCGCACGGGTTCCCGTGCACCTTGCAGGAACCACTCGCCCCACCAGGCTGCCGGAAAGTCGCAGCCATCTGCTTGGCACCCTGTAGTTTTATTTAACGGATGGGGTTTAACATCCCAAAACCATCATATTAACCAGACTATTAGCTACGCTTGGCACCAATAGGTCCAATGTTTTAAAGCTTCACGATTGTTTGAGCTCAATCTGTTAACATTAAATGCAGCATATGAATTGCAAGGTTTGAGAAATTACAGGAGCACCAGCGATACTGCTGGAAGGTTCAATGACTGACATACAAAAGACAACTGTTATCAGCATACAGCATGTATTGCTGCAGCTTGAGATTTTGATAAAGAAAGAAGCGATACTGTTGTCACACAAAAATTGATTAGGTAAGGAAATGTGGCATCAACAACTGCGAAGTATTCATCAAAGTTGTCGGTGTCACTCAATTGTTGGAAGGGGAAGCTGCGAAAGGCAATCAGCGTCGGCATGACGATGACCGCTCTTGTAACAAACTTCAATGTGTTCTTGCACTTGTAATGGCCAACAAGCAAGACGACTAGATAGGTACCGTAGTTCGGTGAGCCAACATAAAGAATTGTGGTCCGTGATGATTGAAAAGCAGTGTCCCTAAGTATACGGGTGAAACTTGAGGACAGCGAAAATGATTGAAAGACATTCCTGCTCTGCGACAGTGTAGTTTCGCTCTGGTTTATTTAAACAGCAACTGGCATAGCCAATAACGTGTTCTGCAGCTCCATGACATTGAACCAAGACAGCCACTACACCACCGGTGTCGGTATGTACTTCTGTGGCAGCAGATGGATCATCGAGGCGAAGCGCGGGCCCTGACATAAGAACAAACTTAAGTTGCGAAAAAGACGACTCATTTTGCTGACCACCAAAAAGGGGCACTCTTGTTGATTAGGGACGTCAAAGGTAAGCGATGTCGGTGAATTTAGGCACAAAACGATGGAAGTATGAGCATAAAAAGCTTTTTGCTTATTAAATTCCGAACTAACTATGGTTCACAAAGACTCGCAGCTACTAGATTTTGTTTTATTCAAATTTTGTAATTTTTTGAAATTTGACATTAGGTATGCTTTTTCTGTATCATCATTCAAACATCTTGTTCGCATCCTCAACCATTAGCACCACTTATTTAATGTGTCAACAAGCGAATTCGCTTCAGTTCTGATTATTCCTTGTTAGTATTTTTCTACAGTTTTTGTAACTTCATAATTTTTATGTATTACTCTTTGCCTAAATATCTCAATAGCCTATGCCTATTATTTCTTACTTTGTACTCTGATTAGTTCGTAGTTTTTTTATGTTTATATTTTGCTGTTAAGTGGCTTTTTTACATTATAATTAGGTCCTTTTACACTGCTTACACTATAGGACCTTTTTGACTACATTTTGCAAATGACTACATTCTGTATATGTACTCACTATTGAAGAAACTTCAAAACTCTTATACAGACTGAGGTTGTTTGAAGCTGCTCACAGCAGCAATTTTCTGAGGTTGGGGTCGATTGCCATGCTTGTCAACCAAACCATCGAGAACCACATGAGTCTCACAGTTGCCGAAGTGTCACTTCTTAAAATTGAGGGTGAGCTTAGCTCTCTCAAGGCAGGTGAGAACAATGTGTAGATTATGGTCGTGCTCGTTGAATGCATGGCCAAAAATGTCATCCCGGTAGCATCCCGTGCGACGCAGTGTCCATGAAGCACTCAAACTTAGCTGGAGCGTTACATAGGCCAAAAGGCATTAAACTGAATTCAAATAGACCCTCTGGGGTAAGGAAGGCCATTTTCTCTTTGTCAGCTGGATGCATGGGAATTTGCCAATATCCCGATCTGACATCTATGGAGGACAAGTACGATGCAGAATGCAAACATCAATAACGTCATCAACCCTTGAAAGCAGGAACACATCCTTTTTTTAGTAACAGAGTTGAGGTGTCTGTAGTCCACGCAGAATCACAATGTACCATGCCTTATACCGGACAAAAATCACAGCGGAAGCGCAAGGGCTACACAACTTTTGGATGATTCTTTTTTTTCACTAATCTTCTACCTGTTGAGCAATGACCTTGTGCTCTGCAGATGAGATACAATATGGTTTCTGCCATATAGGGTGAGCAGATCCTCGTGACAAGTACGTGACTCGGGCACACTTACTTGCTCGTTTTTATAGTGGTGCGCTTCGTAAGGACTTGGACTAAAGCCTGACGTTTTCCTCATGACAGCAACTTGTTTACCAAACTAAGCAATAGAATGGAAGCTATAGAGCGACAACTGTCCAGTCTTGCCACATTAGGCAACAAAGTTAAAGACAAAGGTAAAATTTCCCACATCGACAGAAACATTGTCATGCTTAACGACAAAGTAAACGACCGAGAAAATAGGAGCCACCAAAATAACCTACACCTTTATGGTCTCTATAAGCCTAAGAGCAAGACACATGATGAATTAGAAAAGAAGTTTAATAAATATATCGTAGAAGATAAACTGGTACTTAAAGCGGCGAGCATTGAGTGAATTCATAGGATAAGCCACAGTATGGAGAATAAATCCTATCCAGTTCACATCTAGTTATAATACAGTGTTTGCACTATATAGAAATAAAAGTTTATCCAATCCAATTGCACTATATAGAGAACAGTTGTCTATTTTAAGAGCTTTGTATAAACTTAAAGGCACTACATTTTCTGTGGTTGAGGAGTTTTCGCAACATATTCGTGTGCATCTTAGGTTACATTGAAGTAGTGCAGTAGACGAAAAGGATAAGGGGGCTATGGTTAAGCTTGTCTATCATAAGTTAAGTGTAAATAGCATTATGTATGGCTGGAACAGTGACAAGAAGTGCCGTTTTAAGCTGAAAAGTGATAAACGGGAGTGACACAGGGAAAATGATAATCGATTTCTGAATCTTCCTAACATCAGTTGTAGAAGCGTGGTCAACAAAAGCACTGAGCTTGAGGGGCTAATTATTATAAACAACCCTGACATTGTCATATTGACTGAGACTTGGCCGAGTAATGATCTCTACAATAGTGAATTCCTTCCATTAGGATATCTGGTTTACAGGAAGCACCGTGGTAGCAGGGGTGGTGGAGTTTGTATAATATACAAAAGTGCGCATGAGGTATTCTCGATGCCTGATGTTACCAACATTGAATGCATATTCTGTAAAGCCTACAGTGGCGGCCCTAGGTATATTGTGGGTGCCATGTACAGACCCCCAAACTCTGATGTTTCTACTATGGATGCGTTGAAGTATTTATGGGACTGTTTTGAAATGAGAGCGCACTACTTAGATGCGGACAGAAAGACAGGGACAAGAGCTTTCTGTCTGCATCTAAGTAGTGCGCTCTCATTTCAAAACAATCATGTATCACCAACTTGCCCAATCAACCATACTGACATATTTATGCGACCATGTTAAACCTGATGATCAGGTAATTCTTTAAGGAGATTTTAATTTGCTCGATGACGACTGGTTGTCAATGTCTACCAAAAGTCGTAATGACATGGTGGGAAAGACACTACTAGATATTGCTTTCACATTTGACTTTCATCAAATTATTGAATGGTTCACAAGAATTCGGGGTAAGAGTAGGTCCCTACTCAATCTTTTCTTTGTTTCTGGCTTCTCAGACGCCAATAGGAAGATTCATTCAATTAGGCTGCAAGACAACATCCTCAATGACAGTGATGGATCCTTGACAGTGCTTGGAATCGTCTCTAAATGCCAATACAATGATTTCGCCGGCACCACAATCTACAGTAGCACTACAGTCTCGTGAAAAATCTATCTCCAAGATAATGTCATGGTGGAGCTGGCCAGGACAGTGAATTCTACCTCGAACACCTTGTCGCCCAAAGTAACACAACACACGCACATCAATAGGACACAGCATCTCTCCGCCTACTGCATAAAATGTTGCACAACTGTCCCCGCAAAGCATCACCATGTCCTAGCCACTATTGAAAGTTACGACTCATCACTGGAGCAGCTGCTCCAGTGTCTATTAAAGCCATTGTAGACACTCCATCAAAGAACATAGGGATTTTATTTCGAGTTATATGAAGATAAATGAAGATATATTAGGATTAGCTTGAAATATATTGTCGCAACGTGCAAAGAACAGGACACAAGGCTTCCTTTCGACGTTAACAGCAAGGCTCTATTGGCACACAAAAACAAAGCGCAAGAGCAGACACGCAACGTCGTCTTCCTCGAAAACGCCAGCGACCGCCACACGTGATGCTGGCTTCTTCCTACTTTTGTGCTTACGGCTAATAACCGTGACATTAGCCTTCCTCTCCAGAAGGCATCGTCCCGATGCTTCGTCATCATGGCGGAAGGTTTTGTAGTCACTGGCAGCCCACGGATTCATTCGGACAAATAAGGTTTCATCCGAACTATGTGCACAACTTCTAGTGCATGTCTTTGACGTCTTGAACAATGTGGACTGTCGGGAATCACCTCATAGTTAACATCACTGAGACGACGGAGAACTTTATACGGCCCAAAGTACCATCTCAAGAGCTTCTCCGAGAGGCCACGATGGCGAACTGGGGTCCAGATCCAAACTTTCTGTCCTGGTTCATAGGAGACAGGTCGGTGACGACGATTATAGCGCCTTGTATCATAGTCCTGGTGGCGACGAATACGTACGCGGGCAAGTTGGCGGGCTTTTTCAGCAAGCTGAGTTATGTAGTCTGCGCTTGTGTCAACGCCATCACTTTCATGCGGCAACATAGCGTCGAGCATGGTTGTGACGTCACGGCCATAGAGAAGGCGGAATGGTGTCATGCGTGTTGTCTCTTGCTGTGCCGTATTGTAAGCGAAAGTGACGTAAGGCAGTATCTCGTCCCAGTTTTTATGTTCCACATCGACGTACATGCAAAGCATATCCGCAAGTGTTTTGTTCAGCCGTTCCATCAGACCATTTGTTTGTGGATGGTATGCCGTTGTGCGCCGGTGAGATGTCCCATTTAGACTTAAAACTGTGCGTAATAGCTCGGCTGTGAACGCTTTTCCTCTGTCAGTTATTACTACAGATGGAG